ACTCTGAAGGACATGGGAAAGTTGCATCATTTCCTTGGAATTGAAGTTGTACGGCACGACTCTGGCATCCATCTCATCCAATCAAGATACATTTCTGACTTACTAAAAAGATTTGAGCTGGAAAGTTTAAAACCGTGTTCTACACCAATTCCTACTTGGAAAACCATCTCTAAGACTGATGGTGAAATGTTAACCGAAACTTCAATTTATAGAAGTGCAGTTGGAGCCTTCCAATACCTCTCACATACAAGACCAAACATTACCTTCACAGTCAACAAGTTAAGCCAATTTCTGTAATCTCCAACTTCTATTCACTGGCAAGCTTTGAAGAGAGTTCTAAAATACCTCAAAGGCACTGTAAATCATGGTTTGTGGATCCAGAAGAGTGAGGATTGAACTTAAATAGCTACTAAGATGCTAACTAGGCTTCTTGTCCAGATGATCGAAGGTCAACAACAGGCTATTGTATCTATTTAGGTGATAATCTAATATCCTGGTCCTAAAAAAAGTAGCACGTTGTAGCTCGTTCAAGCACAGAAATCTGAGTATAGAGCCCTTGCTTCAACTGCTTTAGAAGTCGCATGGATTCAATCACTATTTCAGGAACTTGAGCTGCCTCCAGCTGGAATTCCAATGATGTGGTATAATAACATGAGAGCAGGAGCACTCGCTGCAAATCCAATATATCACGCAAGGACTAAACACATAGAGTTGGACATCCACTTCATTAGAGATAAGGTTCTGGCAAGAAAATTAGAAGTGAAACACATACCTCCCTCAGATCAGATTGCTGACTTAATTACCAAAGGATTGAGTCAGTCAAGGTTTCTATTCCTAAAAGACAAGCTGGGAGTGACCTGTGCACCCTCCAGTTTAAAGGGGGTGTTGAGAATTAGCCATGTCAACTCCTTATCCGTTTGTAGCAGCCATCTCATTGGTGAATCAGCATCATCCATCCATGCTGTCAATAAGGTGTCCTACCTGATTCTTTGGACCACATTTCATTTGTACTATTATTCCCAACATGATCTATTAATCATGGAACAGCCTAACGGCCTTAGCTTCTAGATTATTCTTGTGATCATGTTGTGTATTATATATTCATCTGCTCAATGACTAAAACGTACAAGGTTCAGCATTATTTCTTCTCACTTTGATATATATATTTAAACTCCTTTGTAGCGCAAATTTCTCATTCTTCATTTGTATAAGCTAAAGTACAAATTTCTACCACCAAGTCTTTCCGAATATTCTCCTTCACGCAACTACACCTTAGAATCTAGAAAGGACTGAATCTAAAAAAGTGTTGGGAAGAACACGCGCAAAAATGTGAAAGTGTGTGCAAGAGAGGGAAAGACTATTATTATGTTGTCTAGGTGTGTTGATTATCTGTCTCATGTCTTGTGAGGATCAAGGGCCCATTCCCAACAAATTAGTCCAATTGAGAATCTTCAATGGTACTTATGATTGACAAGGGAAATTAAATAACAATTTTAATTAAAGTCACACATACATAAAGAAATCATATACATTGTCTTTTGGGGAGGGACACATTTGTGAGAGCTTGATAGCTTGTGTAGTTGTGATAAACAAATTTGTATCTTTGCAGTCCATGGAGTTAAGATGAATCACTATACCAACATTGGCAAATTTTGATGAGATCTTTTCATTGTTATTGTTTAGTATTGCCTAGAATTATTTTGAGATGGTTTTAATTGCATAAATTGTTATTGCTGCATTTGAGGGACTTTGTCTTTGATAGATGAGGATTTTATGTGCCACGATTTGATATTAATTTTTTTTTTGTCTTGGTTAGCCTCTAACATTATCTAGAGTCCCTTGGATAAGGAGGATTTTATGTGCCATGAGGAAAGTGATTTTTTTTTGTTGAAGGTGTTAAAGAGGTAAAAAAGTGAAGTTTAACCGGAAACTTAGCGTAGGGTGCCATTGGAGGCGCATGAGCTGCGCTTGCTTGCTGCCTACTTTGCACTTGAGTGGCGTATATATTAGGGAAAATATTGTTTCTTTATTTTTGGCTCTTTTTTTATCCTCTTTCCAACTACAATATATTATCTTGGGTCCTATTTATGCTCCACGAAATTCTTGACTTTCATATGACTTTTTACGAGTCTTAGAAAGTTAGACAATATTGTAAATACAATATTATTGTATTTTTCTCTGCCAAATTGTTCTTGTGTTCTTCTAGTGTTGTGATTGCTACTTAGTATTATACCATATAATCTCGTCCTTAATTCCTAGAAAGTGGTATCAGAGTATACATAATTTTTACTAGTTTGCTAACAAGTGGTATTAAAGCTTAATGTTTGATTTCTTCTTGATTTTTTGTTTTTGTGATGGAAACCATGGAGTATGATATTCCGTTCTTAGATCGCAGTATTAGATTCTTGTTATGGCAGAAGAAGATTCGAGTAGTGCTCGTTCAAATGGATTTGGACGACGCTTTGTTGAGATTTGACACGATACCCTCAAATTGGTTGATGGAGGAGAAACAATGTAAAGATCCAAAGGCTCCATTACATATTCATCTTCATCTTTCGAATTATATTCTTCAGGACATTTTGAAGAAGAAAATTACAGCTGCACTATGATTGAAGTTAAAGCAATTGTGTATGATTAAGAGTTTAACTAGCAAATTGTACCCGAAGTAGCGTTGGTATTCTCACTGTATGACATAAGGTACATATTTAGAAAATCACCGTATTGCTTTTAAAATTGTCACTGATTTGGATACCTGAAGGTTAAGTATGATGAAGAGGATTTTGCCTTGATCTTATTATGTTCATTGTCGGCTTCATATATGTTGTTTAAAGATGCGATATTATATAGTTTTGATACTCTCACCATTCAAGAAATATATGATACTTTGTTTTCAAAGGAGAAGAAGAAGCATCTTGTTGTATTTGAGATTCAAAGAGAAAACCTTGTTGATCCTGGTGGTTATGAGAGGAGTAGTTTGAAGTCTAACTTGAGTAATGAAATTGTAAATATTGCAAGAAGAATGGGAACATAAAGAATGATTGGTATAAGTTGAACAATGAAGTCAAATTTGTTACAAATCAAAAAGGAAAGCAATCGAATACTTCAGGTGAAGTAGATATTACAAAAAATTACTACAGTAATGGAGATCTTTTGGTTATTTTTGATAATGACTCCAAACCTAACAAGGATTGAATTATTGATATAACTTACACTTTCCATATGTGTTCCAATGGGATTCGTTTTCCATATATGAAAAAGTTTCAGAATGTATCATGGCTATGGAAATAACACACCCTGTAAGATATCTAGTATTGGAAGGGTGAGGCTTACGATATTGGATGGGACGGTTAGAACACTTAATAAGGTAAGACACATTCCAAATTTGAAGGGAAATCTTATTTCCTTGAGTACTCTTGATTCAAAAGGGTACAAGTTTACTAGTGAAAGTTGAGCTCTGAAGGTTTGTAAAGGTGCACATGTTGTATTAGAAGGGCAGCGAAGGTCTTGGTTATATGTCTTGCAAGGTTGTGCAGAATCTTTGAAGATCAATCAGCAGAGCTTTGGTACTTTGGTGGACATTCAGTTTGGTGTACTACTGTTGGAGTTTGGTTTGGGGTTCATGTTGAAGGATACATCTCAGTCGAGTCTAAAAGTTATAGGTAATGTCGCTTTGCCACCATTAATGGTGCCATCATATTCAATTATAAGAGACAGACCCAATAGAGATATTAGGTTTCCACAAAGGTAAGGGGAAGTTGATTTAGTTGTGTATGTTTTAAGTGTGGTTGAAGGTGTTGCGTCTAACGAAAAATCTTTTATAGAAGCATTTTGTGGTGTTGATTTTGTTTCAGAGTGTGTTTTGGCCATGTTTTGTAAATTTTGAATTATTTTGGATTTTGTTGCTCATGTTGACAATTCAAGCAAATTTTAGTACCTATGGTAATTCTGTTGAGCAGTACTTGAATTCAATTTATTGGATTTGTCCTATTTGGGCTTTGTGGAAGATGAGGAGAATTTTGTTCGAGAGCTTCTTGGAGTGAAGAACCATTGGTTTATTCTTCGTAGTGGAATTTGTTTTCAGGTGGAGAATTTTTTAAATTTCGTTCAATGCATTATAATTTTGTCAATGTGGACATTTGTTTAATATTGTGATCCATATTCCATTGAAAATGGTGTTTTGGTTAAAGAAAGTGTTAAAGAGATCAAAAAGTGAAGTTTATTATGAAACTCAGCACTTGGGCGTCATTGGAGACGTTTGAGCTGTCGCTTGCTTGTCGTCTGCGTGTCGCTTGAGCTGCATTACGACGATCGCTTCTCGTGAGGCTATCGCTCAAGCGGCGTATATATCCAAAAAATATTGTTTATTTATTTTTGGCTTGTTTTTTATGATCTTTCCAACTACAATGTATTTTCTTTGATCTTATATATATTCCAAGAAATTCCTGACTTTCATATGACTTTTAAGAGTCTTAGAAAGTTGGACAATTAATATTGTAAGCACAATATTATTGTACATTTTTCTATATTAATAAATTCTCTATTCTTCAGTCAAATTATTCTCGTGTTACCTCATATTGTACCATATAATATCGTCTGTACTTCTTCATGAATATTATCAAAGTATGCATGCATATTTCTTGCTAGTTTGATAACAAAATCAATGGTCATAATATTTAGGGAAACGTTACAATTACATTGCATCAATCTCTCACACCCAAAAATCTCCCAATCACGAAAAATGTCCTACACCAATGCTACCAAATAATAACTAGTTCAAGAAATAGGAAGAGAAATATGTAGATTTTTTTTTTTCAAAATAGTTAGGAACTCTTTATAGTAGACCTCATTTACCTTTTCCTTTTATGCCCTTAATTAATGCAGAAAATCAAATTTTTAGTATATTTTGATTAAATATATATGTTCCACACATAACATATGATACAAACATGACTTTAAAAAACTTGAGAAGGTAAGGAGATATTTGGGCTCCGGACGAGATTCTAGTATGTCACCGCAAGTTCGAGGGCTTTGATAGGAAAAATGAGTCTGCAGCTATAAACCTGGCAAAATGCTTGTAACCACGTCAGCAACAACAGCATATTAGCAGCAAGAAAAGAGAGAATCTGCCACGAACCAAATATATATTTCTTCATGAATTTTCCAAATTTAACCTTCCACCTTCCATTGTAATACTTGTTCACATCTACAATCACTTTATCTATGAAAGACACATTTGTAAATCTAATAGACTTACTCATTCCATTCCACAGGTCCGCCACCTCTTTATCGCTCTTCAAAGGGTTTATAATAATCCCTTTATTGCGAAGAAAACTCGCATCTTTTTCTGTGTCAATAATCCCATTCATTAATTCTGTGTAACGAGCCAGAACCATCGGCCATACTACTATACACGCTTCATATGCCACCATGTTTCTTAAAACAATCTCCGAATTCTCATCTCTACAAATGATAGGGAGATAAAGTGTGGCAGTTTTTATGTCGAAATTAATGCTTTGGATGCCTTCATTAGTTGGCAAAAAGCAAACTCCAACTTCAAAGAGATCAATTACAGAAGGGATTGAAATTTCTTCTATCGATGGAGGTTTTTCTATGTTACCTTTAGAGTCGGAATCTTCATCTTCTTTCTTCTTGTTGGAGTTGTGACATTTTGTTGTCACATGAAGAATTGTATTTTTATTGTAATCTAGTTTGTAACTAGTTTAGTTGAAATGTCAAACAAAGTTGATGTTAAGTTAGACTAGATTATAATTAGTACAACACAAAGTAGTAAACCATTCTACAAGTAAAGTAAGTTCTAGTAGCAAAGTTGAAAGCTACTACTTGCAAG